GTGATCAGATCTTCCCTTATTTGGACTCAGTCTAAGTGGTTCGAAAGAGTGACCTCAAATATGTTAGTACAGACGATAGTTAGATAATTAGTTAGTACAGACGATATTTTAAATTACGTAATAAGACACAAAAATAAGCTTTCCTATAAATATTTTTTTTTTTTTTGATGGATGAATGGATTGCTGACCTTCATAATATAAGAGGTAGCCGAAATCTGGAAAATATGGCCCTATTTCCAAGGTTCGGACCCCACCCATAAGTTTTGGATTTTTACTTATTTCACCATATCTCGTGAATTTTTTAAAGTGATTCAAGAAAATTCTTGCGAAGAATTATAAAATTCGTTCATTCTAAGATAATTTCATGCAAAAAATAATTTTTAATAATTATTTTTTTATTATTTTGTTTCATAATAGTCATAAAATGTTTGATTTTTTAAGCATACAAATTTTTTTATCATTTTAACAGACATAATTTTATACGTCAAAATACAAAATTTGAACAAAATCAGTCAAATTGTTTCTGGGAAATAGATTTTTAAATATGCGATGCCATACCATGCATTACAATACTATAATTTTATAGAATATACTACACCTAAAAAAAACTTTACTCTATTAAATTTAATTAATATCTTATATTAAATGTAATAAATTTGTGAACTAAGTAAATCTATTTTCCCAAATGTAGGAATTAGTCATTTTTTCACTAAATATTTATTGCTGATGTTTAACCAAATACATACCATAATAGATTCGATACCCCATATCATGTAATAAAATATTATGCCATATCATACTATGTTAAATTTAATAAATATATACTTTTAAATTTTATAAATATATAAACAAAGTATAATCTATTAACCCGAAAGAAGGAATTGTCAAATTATTGTTATCAAATAGTTAATGTTATACGAAATAAAAATACTTTAATAGATTCGATACCGTAACACAATGCGATAATTTGATAGATTATACCGTATCATAATATATGTTAATCTATTAAATTTAATACATATGCTCTATTAAATCCAATAAATATCTGAATAGATTAAAATCTATTAACCTGGAGGAAGGAATGTGTCACTTTTCGTTAAATATCCATTTGTTGAAATTTACAACAGGTTGACAGGAAAACGAGAATAAAATAAACAATGCCTCTCCTAATGTGACCTCCAACGTAAAAAGAAAAATCGTTTTCCAACCATTTTTTTTTCTTTTTTAAGTCATAACCTTTTATTCAAACACCTGGCGGAAGATAGTAGATCTAGCCTTATAAATTTTTTCAGATATTAAAATTTTTTTTCACACATTTGCATGCATTTTAAGTAGATGATTTTTTTCTCTTTTATTTGAAATAAAAAACTAAAACGAATTACTATAAACGAAGATTCTTATTTGGAAAACATATTTCTTCATTAACAAATATGGTTATTTTATTTTCGTTTGAAAAGCGAGATGGGAAAATAATGAAATTCTTATAAATGCTTAATTCTTCCATAATTTATACAATGTATTGGTAAAAATATTTTATTTATTAAAAAAATTATCTATTTCTTTTTCAATGGCATTTTACTTTAAATAATTTCATAAGGAATATGAAATTGATTAGATCTAACTATAATTGAAGATTGCTGGTAAAACAAATGGCCTGGCTCTTAGAACACCTTTAACTATTCTGCGGAACCTTAGCATTCCTCAGATCAGCGGTTCCCAAATGATAAGGATCAGGGGTTCCGAAAGTTATGATTTTCTTAATTAGCAATAGTTATATTTTTATTCAATCAATAAATTTGTAATTTATTTATTATTTCGGTTTAAATGAAATTATTTATGTAAAGCCAATGAATAAAAAATTAATAACAATACAACTTACATACACTATTGCATGTCATTAAATGTATTTAATAACATACAGTACGTAAATTTGTTTTTAAAAAAAATATGCATATATATAGTATATATTAAATATTTCTCATCGAGCTTTTTAATGCAAAAAAAACTAAAATCATGAAACAAGAATAACGTTTCGATTCTCAATGTTTATAACAGTTCTTTATTGAAAACCTTAATATAGCTGATTTATATAATTTGCAGCATATGCATACATCAATATCAAATTCACAGTTCAGAATATTTTGGAAACATCAAATATTTTCAAAATAATTAATACTCTTTTTTTCGTTCTTTTTTTTTTTNTTTTTTTTTTTTTTTTTTTTTTAGTAAATTCAAAGATGCTAATGAAGTTTTTTTTTATAATGCGGGGTTCCTCCAAAAAAAGCATGATAATTTAGGGTTCCTTATCCTAAAAATATTAGGTTCCGCTGATTTAGATCACAATAAATTTGCACCTTACTCAACACTCTTAAAAATAAATTATTATTTAATTCAGATGGGTTTTAATTACTTTTTAAAAATTTAATGCGTTATTTAAAATAAATTTTCCTGATTTTTATTAAAATAAAAAAAAATCGCATACTTTCTTTGCAGAACTCTGATAGATGAATTTATTTCAGTCACGTACAAAATTTTCGAATTCCAAAAGCTAAATTGTCTATTAATAAAAAGCCAGAGTTGGTATATAAAATTTAATTTCTTAGTTTTTCTATTTTGAGGGATTTTTAGCTTAATTTGCTAACTAACACTGTATCTGAGAGCGTCTATATGATGCTGATTATCACAATTTAATACGTAATAGAAGTTGAGCATGGGTTTCATTAGATATCGATTCTGTTAAAATTTAAAAGAGTACCAATTGTATTTCATTATACCTTTGTAATTCCACTGCTTTTAAAAAGCATAACTACACAGATTTTAAACTCGATATTTATTAACCTTCGGTTGTATATTCGATTGCAATAAATTTTAATGCATAAATTTAAAATTAAAAAAAAGTTTATCATTATTCTTATATTTATGTCGCCTCCAACCAGCGCTCCTTACATGCAGCAGAGCACGATTATAAACATTCCTTCCTTCTATTGTTCATAACTATGTCATTTCTAAAATCTCCGGAAAGCGACCTAATGACAACTCTATATTTGTTTTAAATAATCGACCAATAATGGATGATTAAAATTTAGGAATTAGTGATACTATGTCTATTATATAATTATTATTGTTAAATTGATGTCTCCTATCAGTCTGCTTTACATTTAACGGAGGTGAAGATCATTATTTTTAAATTGATGTCTCTTATCAATCTTCTTCACATACAACAGAGGGGAAAATCATTATTTTTATACTGATGTCTCCAACTAGAGCTCTTTACACACAACAGAGGCGAAAGACACGATTATAAGCATTTTCCCCTTCTATTTTTCATAAATATGACAATTCTAAAATTTATGTATTGTATCAAATAAGTGACTTACAGATTACTCTGTATTTCCTTGTAAATTATCGACCAATAGTGAATGATTTATATTTAGCAATTAGTAATATGTCTAATATGTAATCATTATTCTTAAACTGGTGTCATTTCCTACTAGTCTTCTTCAAATTCAGCAGAGGGGGAAATCATTATTCTTAAATTGATATCGTCTCCAACCAGTCTTCTTTACATTCAACAGAGGTGAAGATCATGATCAAAAACAATTCCCTTTTCATTATTCACGAATATGACATTTCTAAAATTACTGTATGAAATAAATGACCTAGAAATATCTCTGTATTTGCTTATAAATAATCAACCAATAATGGATAATTAAAATTTAGAAATTAGTGATATATCTAATATAAAATCATTATTCTTAAATTGATGTTGTGTTCTACCAGTCTTCTTCACGTACCACAGAGGTGAAGATCATTATTTTTAAATTGATGTCATCTCCTACCAAGTCTTCTTTACATTCAACAGAGGTGAAGATCATGATCAAAAACAATCCCCTTTTCATTATTCACGAATATGACATTTCTAAAATTACTGTATGAAATAAATGACCTAGAAATATCTCTGTGTTTGCTTATAAATAATCAACCAATAATGAATAATTAAAATTTAGAAATTAGTGATATATCTAATGTGTAATCATTATTCTTAAATTGATGTTGTGTTCTACCAGTCTTCTTCGCATACCACAGAGGTGAAGATCATTATTTTTAAATTGATGTCGTCTCCTACCAAGTCTTCTTTACATTCAACAGAGGTGAAGATCATGATAAAAAACAATCCCCTTTTCATTGTTCACGTATATGACATTTCTAAAATTACTGTATGAAATAAATGACCCAGAAATATCTCTGTATTTGCTTATAAATAATCAACCAATGATCGATAGTTAAAATTTAGAAATTAGTGATATATCTAATATAAAATCATTATTCTTAAATTGATGTTGTGTTCTACCAGTCTTCTTGACATACTATACAGAGGTGAAGATCATTATTTTTAAATTGTTGTCGTCTCCTACCAAGTCTTCTTTACATTCAACTGATGTGAAGATCATGATGAAAAACAATCCCCTTGTCATTATTCACGAATATGACATTTCAAAAATTAATGTATGAAATAAATTACCAAGAAATAACTCTGTATTTGCTTATAAATAATCAACCAATAATGAATAATTAAAATTTAGAAATTAGTGATATATCTCATATGTAATCATTATTCTTAAATTGATGTTGTGTTCGACCAGTCTTCTTCACGTACCACAGAGGTGATGATCATTATTTTTAAATTGATGTCATCTCCTACCAAGTCTTCTTTACATTCAAAGGTAATGATCATGATTATAAAAATCCCCCTTTCTATCATTGTCTGAATATGACATTTCTAGAATCCCTGTGTAAGCATAACCTGATGACCTAGAGAATAATTCTGTGTTTGCTTATAAATAAATAATCAACCAATAATGGATGATTAAAATTTAGCTACTAGTGAATCGTGTGATACGTAATATACTGATAATTGGCAGGAAGCATAAGTGATTCATTCGCACGCTAGCCAGTTTCTCCATTGAATTGAGAAAAAGGTAAAATACTGGAAAAATATGACCAGGTAAATAAACAGCGGGTGCCATGTTTCATGCAATACCAGAATCTCTGATGCTTGACCGGATAGTAGCAGCACATCCCCGGGAAATGACGCCTACAGCCATTTTGTTCGGGACAACTCTGACCTAATAGTTGCTCCGGAAATCGTTGGGTCCCTCATCTCTTTATTCCGCATTTTATTTAGTTTTCTTTTCATGCAGTATTTTTTTTTCTCTATCAAATTCTGTGGCTGTAAAAGTGAACAAAGGTTGATACGCTTGTAATATTGCAGTCCTCTGTCATTGCACTAAGAACAAGTTAGATTTCGCGGAAGGTCTCCGAGAGATATTTTGGCAACATGAGTGTGAAATTAGTTAATGTTCTGTAGGCATTTTGGTTTAGGTGCATTGAGGTAAGTTTGTGAATGTTATAATAGCTTTTTTTTTTTAATTTAAATTCTTGTGTATGATAATAAGTTTTTAGCGTCATTTGAACCAGGTAGGTTATTTTCAACAAAAGTAAAAAGGGATGCAACAATTATTTTGCTTTAAAATTTATATCGAAGCAAAGCATTCGTGTTAATCTAAATGTATTAATGATTAAAAAAAAAGAGTTAAGAATAATCAGTATCAGAAATTACGTTAGAAGAGTGATGACTAAGAGAAGAAAATATTCATTTAATTTAAGCATAATCTACTATAACTTTCATACTAAGCTACTTTTTTCCATTACCTCATAATATGAATTATTAAATTATCGATCATAATGTAATCATCTGGAAAACATATGGAAATTTATAAAAATGTAGGTAAAACTCCTATTCGTAAAAAGTAAAAAGAAGTCGTAAAATTAAAAAATATATACTATGATTTAGTGTATGTGTCTTAAAATTTCATAATATAATTGTGACAATTTTTTTGCAAAATTTTCCAAAAAACATCACTTTAAAGTATCACATCAATTTCCCGTGTATTCACTTAAATATATTTCCATTTATGCAAAAATATAGTCAGTTGTATTTGACCAAACACTAGAGAAAGCAAAACGTGGTCAAGGAAATATTTTGTTATTAGACTTTTTCTGAACGTGATAAAGATAATTTTAGACATTCTGTTCTTTGTTCATTTAAAAAATGTGCAACTTATAGCAAATGCATTCTTAATTTAAAACAATAAAATTGAAAAAGAAGATAAAACAAAAGTATTTCATACTTAACTTCCATACTCATATTTTCGTCAATTCAACTTTTCATAATTATGTACAACTTCTATTGGTTTTCAATTAGTGTAAAGTAGTTAAAATAAAAGTTCATTACTTTTAAGAATGATGTCTCGAATTTCACTCCTTCATAATAATATGTGAACCTTAGTGTCTTAACTACTAAGCCATCACGGGTGTCAACTTTATAACTGCATACAAAATATTTCTAATGCGCCTCAATAGTATCAGTAATATTTTATTTTATTTTATCCGTCGTTGAACAGCCGACCGAATTTTGGGTTTACGACTACTTATGTTCAACTCCGTAGCCTTGTAATTTTGAGCCCAATCCAGAAGACAAGGGAACTCCTGGATCAAGTATTGGGATAAATTTTGACTTCGAGGAGGACTTTTTGATAGAACTAACCCGCCTTTGCGTTACATGGAGAGGAAGACCACGAGAACCTCCCACGGTCAATCTGAGGGTGAAGGGACTCTAACTCATGATGTGTCTACCACTGAGGATATTTCACGTCAGCACTGTGGTCGGTGCAAGCCGGATGCGGATTCGTATCTACTAGCTATCGCTGAATTCGAACCCGGCTCACCTCATTGGAAGGCGAACGTCCTCTGAGTCATCACTGCTCAGTATCAGTAATATAATAAAATATGCAACAAAAAAAGCAATTAATATTCAAATGACTCGATACCATGGGAGAAACTTATATCGCAAATTCTTTTTCAACGCCATACGTAATTTAAAGTATAGAACAGCGGTTCCCAATTTTTCACGGTTATGGAACCCTAAACAAAAAATTTAAATTTATTGTTAACTAAAGTATTTCATACTTAACTTCCATACTCATATTTTGTCCTTTCAAATTTTCTTTATTATCTGATTTCTATTGATTACAATTAGTAAACTGTAGTTAAACATTGAAATAAAAGTTCATTACTCTTAAGAATGGCACCTCGAACCTCACTCCCTCATAATAATATGTGAACCTTAGTATCTTGATGTGAACCTTAGTATCTTGATGTGAACCTTAGTATCAGTACCACTGAGCTATCATGGCTATCAGCTTTATAACTGCATACAGAATATTTCTAATTCGCTAAATATTGTCAGAAATATAATAAAATATGCACACACAAAATTAACATTAAAAGGACGCTATATCAAGGGAGAAACTTTTCATTGCAAATTATCCTTCGATGAAATACGTAATTTAGAGTATAGAACAGCGATTCCCAATTTTTTACTGTTACGAAACCCTAAACATATAAATAAAATTTATTGGCAGCAGTAAAATTATTGACCAAGGAAGGACTACCAATTATTTTGATAATATTTAATGAGGGGAACGATATTTTTTTCATTAATCGTCTTATGAATAAAACTCTTAAAAAGAATAGGTTTTTTTTTTAAAAAAATAGTTGAATTGTTGTGGTATCTAGTCTAAGTTCTGAATATGTTTTTGGTGCATACATTAGCTGAAGATGAATAAAATAAAATTAATTGTGGTTTTCGAAGAAGAATCTTTAGAGACGTTGAGAATAGTACCAGAGAAACAATTCGTAACTCTTGAATTCGGTTATTTTATTTTGAATTGAAAAGTTTTTTTTTTCCAATGCCCACCTGTGTTAACATCCCTCAATTCAGGTATATACAGGGCGATTTTTGTTGGCTTCTCTTTCAGGGGCACCATATTAGGTGGGCCAACGTCGCTCCCACAGTGAGGACAGATAGTATAGAGAAGGAAAGATCATCCATGCCTTGCCCGGAATTCGAAACCAGAACCTTTCTGATGCAAGGACAGTTTCCTGCCCCCTACACAGGCCGGTCGTCTGAATTGAAATTCAATTTTTCATAAATGTTAACACTTCTTTTTTTTTCTACTGGCATTTCACTTAAATAATTTCATAAAAATAACCAAACTATCAACGAAATTATATGGTTTAGTGTTTTGATATAAATATAATTACAAGTTACAAAAATTATTACTGATTTAAAAAATGTAAACTCTCCGAACCCGTGGGAACCTTCCACGGACCCCCAAGGTTCCGCAGAGCACCATTTGGGAACTGCTACTGTAGAAAATGTGAGTTAAGGCAAACCATTAAGTTTAAAATACTGAAAAAAAATTTGAAAATTAAACAAATTATGATTGGATAATTTTGGATTAAGCAATGGGGAATAGCGTAATCCAATAATTTGTTTGATATTTTGAATACTTTTTCAGCAACTGAAACTTTATGGTCAACTCTAAGATTGCCAGAACTCACTTTTTCTATACTTTGAATTTTAAATGAGTTATGGAGATGGAATAGAATTTGTGATGAAAAGTTTCTTCAGAGGTATGGCGTCCTCTTCGATTCGCATTTTTCATATTGAAGCTTTTCTTGTATTTTAAAGGTTGATTTTGAATCTGTCAAGAAAAATATGTTTATTAGGATTAGTTTAGTTTTTGTATCTGATGTTGTGTGTGTAGCTTAAAATATTGTCTGCAGAACTTTAGTAGCATAGTTAGAAGTAAACTTTTGCACCATTAAGATCACATCTTAGTAAGTAAAAATGCGTTCGCCAGATCAAAAGTTTTTAGGGTGTTCTGTTTTTAATTTTGCACAACTACAACACTTTGTACATTTTAATGTAATATTTAACCAGAAAGCACTTTTCATTACTTGACTTTTGATTCAAATGTTTTCTTACATATGAAAAATGAAAAGTTATTTAAAGAAGAATCAAGGATTCATAACAAGAATTATACTTTTTTTTTAATATAATAAAATAAATATTTCGAATCTAATCAGAAAAAAATTTTATGTTTTTGAAAATTTGAAGTTAAATATTAAATTAATTATAAGGATTGTCCCTAAATTCACATCAGTTTTGAATTTTGTTCCATTTTTGCAATCAAATATTAACAACGAGAAAAGGAAAGGCAGCTGACGGTTCACAATTATTAAAATGTGGGCTGCATGAAAGTATAACGCATCTTATTGTTGAGCAATAACAATTTCCTGGTTCTGTAATTTCCCGTTTCAACGATGATCAGAATCAGTCGTACGAATAATCATGTGATTTTGCGATATACCGTAGTAGAAACTCTTTTTTTAAAAAAAAAAAAAATATTAACTTAATGCATAAGAGCCTACAACCCCTATGTCTTGAAGAAGTAGATCAAGCATTATTTTAACGAAATTCAACCTCATTTATGCTAAGCGGTGATTGAGAATTTCTATGAAAGAGCGTAAATGTAGTATCAAAACTGTGAGGGAAACATTTATCTAAATGCTATTCCATACGCAACTTCATACTATAATATGAATCTAAAAAATACGAAAATACTGAATAATTTTTGCAGTATGAATCAACAAAAAAAGAAAAATCAGGATTTTTAATTTTAAACCTGTTTTCTGCAAAAATTACTTCTTGCGTGCGAGAAACATAATTTAAAATAAAAAAGATCCTAAAAAAATTTCCTTAAAAAAAAAAGCTAAGTTTAATGCTCTCTCTTTACGAGCCGCGATGGCTCAGGGGATAGGCAAGCCAATGAGGCGAACCGGGTTCGAATCCCAGTCGATACGAATTCGGCTTGCACCGACCACAGTGCTGGCGTGAAATATTCTCTGTGGTAGACGGATCATGGGTTAGAATCTCCTTGCCGTCAGGCTAACTGTGGGAGGGTCTCGTGGTCTTCCTCTCCATGTAACGCAAATGTGGGTTAGCACCACCAAAAAGTCATCCACGAAGGCAAATTTCTTTTAATACTCGATCCAGGAGTTCCCTTGTCTTATGGATTGGGTTCAAAATTACAAGACTACGGAGTTGNCAGGCTAACCGTGGGAGGATCTCGTGGTCTTCCTCTCCATGTAACGCAAATGCGGGTTAGCTCCATCAAAAAAGTCATCCACGAAGGCGAATTTCTCCTAATACTTGACCCAGGAGTTCCCTTGTCTTCTGGATTGGGTTAAGAATTACAAGGCTACGGAGTTGAACATTAGTAGTCGTAAACCCATAAAATTGGGTCGGTTGTTCAACGGCGGTTATAAAATAAAAAATATCCTCTCTTTACTATATGAGCCATCAATTTTTGGTTCATATAGTAAAGAGAGGGTATAATGTAGGAAATCCTTAAGCTATATTCTTTACATGCAGTTTTTTAAATACAAATACAGTTACATGTTCCAAATACAGTATTTTATAAG